CTTCAATCTCACTAATTCTGTCTTCCATTGATTCAATTCTGCTCCTTTGCCCGTTCAATGTGTTACCTATTTCTGAAAACTTACTATTAATCTTCTGGATTTCTGTATGTAGATTTTGTATCATTTCTAATTTTTCATTTATTTTGTCATTTTGTCTTTCAAAATTGCTGCAGGGTTTTCTCTGTATTTTCCTCAATTTTGTCGGTGTTTTCCTTGATCTTCTCTCAATTTGTTGAAGATACCTAAATATAATTCTTTAGAATTCCTTATCAGGGAGTTCCAATGCTGCATCTTCCTCAGGAATGTGTTTTGGGTCTGTATCCTGGTCCCTTTTTTCTCCTGTTTTATCTTGCTTCTTTGTGGGGGCTGTGATGCTCTGTTGTCTCTGAGGCATTGTGACGTTTTTTGTGTTTATATTTAATTGGTGATTGGAAACTAATAAAACTTTTAGACTTAACTTCCAGGTTATAAGAAACACAGGAATAGAGGAGCAAATTAACCATTACCATGAGGAAACAATTACACAAATCTCAAAGTTAGGACATTTTACAAGGCAATACCTGGTATCTTAAAAAATTCAGTATCATCTTAAAAAGAAAAAAAGGAAAGAAATAGATGGTCTCTTCTACATTAAAATAAGATAAAGAGCAAATGCTATTTGCGAATTCTAACTGGATCCAGATTAGGTCAAAACATCTATAATAGACATTTTGAGCATAAACAGAGAAATTTTAATATGGATGGAATACTATCTGCTATTAAAAATTATAATTAATTTTCTCAAGGTATGATGATGGTATTAGGTTTATATATAGAAACAAATCCTCATTTTTAGAAGATGCATACCAAAATATTTAGGGGAGAAGAGACATAACATCTGCCATTTTCAAATGGTTCAGGCTCCCTCCAATACACACACACATATATAATCTTAAACATGATAATACAAATATGGGAAAATGTTAAAAATTGTTGAATCTTGATGATAGATATATATGTTGTTGTTGCTGTTAGGTGCCGTCAAGTCAGCTCTGACTCATAGCCACCCTATGTACAACAGAATGAAATACTGCCTGGTCCTGCGCCATCCTTAAAAATCCTTGCTATACTTAAGGCCATCGTTGCGGCCACTGGGTAAAATCAATCTTGTTGAGAGTCTTCCCCTTTTTTGGTGACCCTCCACTTGACTAAGCATTATATCCTTCTCCAGAGAATGGTCCCTTCTGACAACATGACCAAAGTAGGTGAGACGAAGTCTGGCCATTCTCACTTCCAAGGAGCATTGCAGCTGCACTTCTTTCAGAAGAGAGTTGTTAGTTCTTTGGGCAGTCTATGGTAATTTCAGTATTCTTCCCCAACACCGTAATTCAAAGGCATCAACTCTTCTTTGGCATTCTTTATCCATTGTCAGGCTTTCACACGCATATGAGGCAACTGAAAATAACATGGCTTGGGTTGGGTGGACCTTAGTCTTCAAAGTGATATCTTTGCTCTTCAACACCTTAAACAGGTCTTTTGCAGCAAATCTGCACTGCGCAATATGATGTCTGATATTTTGACTGTTGCTTCCATAGATGTTGATTTTGGAGCCAAATAAACTGAAATCTTTGACTACTTCAATCTTTTCTCCACTTACTGTAATGCTGCTTATTGGCCCAGTTGTGAGGATTTTAGTTTTCTTTATCTAGAGATCTAATCCATACAGCAGACTTAGTCTTTAATCTTCATCAGTAAGTGCTTTTATCTTCACTCAACAAGCAAGGCCGTGTCATCCACATATTGCAGGTTGTTAATGAGTCTTTCTCCAATCCTGATGCTGTGCTCTTCTTCATATAGTCCCACCTCTCAGATTATTTGCTCAGCATACAGACTGAGTAGGTATGGTGACAAAAT